TAAGGCAGCGTTTTTCTTGAAAAAGCGCTTTCATAGGGTGTTTTTTTTAGAGGTATAATTTATATAATTCATATACCTGCATTATTTGTAGCATATTATTTATATAAACCAGTTGCCATAACCTGTAATTCATAAACCGCGGTAATGCATTGTATACCATTGTAATCTAAAATATATATACACCATTTTTGTACCTCAAAATATATAAAAACCATTGTTATCAGCATTGTGACTCAAAATCAGTCTTACAAAATCAACCCTAACAACAACTAAAGTTTATATGATTCTCTGCCCAATAATATATTGACACAATTCCTCTTTGATTTCTTCCAAATGAAGTTTCATGTAATATGCACATTTGTATTCATCGAAGTACTACATAACAAAACATAATATGCATGATTTAGTTAAAAGTAAAAAATTATATGAAATATCCGAGAAATAATAAAACAAATCCTAAGTTATAAATCCATACCGTGACTGGAATCTCTATTTGATTCAGTTGAAGGATTTCTTTGATAAACCGCATAACGAAGTATCCGCAATCTATACCGTTTTGTTGTTGAGGACAATACATAGAAAAACAAATAAGAATATATAGTTGTATTGTTTTATCAAATAGCATAAATATTATAAGCAAAATAGTGGAAATTAATATACCTGCACTTTGATCCAATTAATGTTGTTTGATTTAGACCGTCGTACCCGAGCTTCTCTTTGACACCGGAATACTTGTATTGCTCTAACAAAATAAAAATATATATTTAGAACAATGTCATAGAAATAATTAAATATATAAATACACACAGATATTTAGAATAATCTCACTTACGTATCAATCATTAACTTCATATCCGGATAATTTGTGCAATCACCGTCAACCAAATTCAGATGATAGACCACTTCTTTTAAGGATCGATAACAACCAACAACCAGTGACGTCTATAAATTAAAACAACAGTTTAGAAGAAAATTTTCTATGCAAAAATTACAAATATTAAAATGAACTTAAAATGAAAATCTAACCCTGTAGGAATAGTATTATACGCCCAAAGATATAAGCTTTTTGTACTTCCAGTTTCCATGAATCTTTCGACTAAGTGCTCTTTTACTGAATCCGGTTCCCTACCAATTGTCGCTCCACTGACACGGGAGGAAGACACGAAATGGAATTTGTTTGACAATTGATTCCCGCGCATCAATTTGTCATATAACAACCTTAAATAAAAACATAATTAATATTAGACTATATTCATTGAAATGTTTAAAAAAAATTTCAGCTAATTACATAATATAAAGATGGGGGTTACCGAATGTATGCGTGCATAATACTGACGCCTAATTCTTTATGACGGAAAATCTCTTCCACGTCCTCATGTCCAATTATTTCGGTGCAAGGAAAACCAAAGATACCTTGATCCATATCCATTTGACGAATACCACCATCCATCAAATTTGTTGTTCCCACTATTGTTTCAAGACACTGCCGATATCGAGGGAAAAATCTAGTAGGAACCCTTTTCTTGGGTGGTACGCCAACGATTTTCTGGATCACTTGTTGTGACCCTTGAAAAGGTACCTAAAAATCATATAGACTTAGTTAAATTATAAAATTATGCAGTTTTTTATCCGGATCATATAATTAACACTTTAAACGTACCTCTTTTTGTGATACATCAGACTCGTCGTGCCGTAAAATCCCTTTACCCTTAGATGAGGGTTTTGTAGGAGTCTATAATTACCGTGGAAATAACTGAGGTCAGAACTGACAGTTGAAGACTTAAAGATTCATAATGGTTTTCAACATACCCGATTATCTATGAAAATGAGGTCCGATGGCCATGCAACAAAAGATCCTATTGCATCTCGCAACAATGTGGTCTCAGCAACAATGTCAGGTACCGACATCAACGCATCCATATCTAAAGCAATATCAACCGATACTTTCATGTGTCCATCCGAAAGCGGTCTATGGTGAAGTAAATCTCCCAAAGTGTTATGGACTTTTCCCTTGCCAACTAGTCGATAAGTCGGCGACGATAGGTATAGCTGGCAAGATGAAATGCCCTAAACCAATAATAACCGTTAGAAGTGACTAAAAATATTCTATAATAATAACGGATATATATTGAAAATTACCTCGGGAAATTTATGCTGACAGTTGATACTAGCTTTGTCACTAGTTTCTTTCAACTGTGAACTGCTCTTTTCCGCCATATATATCTCTTTATCCTTCTGCAATTCAAGGACTTGAGCTTGTAAATCCTGCAATGTTTGCATCACTTCTGCATTTCTAGGATTTCTTCTCCTTGGATGCTTATACAAAGAGGTTGGAGTCACACCATGACCTTTACCCCTCACCCGACCCGGATACTCAGCAATATTTAGTGCTCGACTGAGTACGCTCCTGGTATCCTGATCCTCACCTGGGGATACCGATTGCGACAAGGTCTCCTGTAATTCATTTACATATCGAAAATTATTAGTGGAGATAAAAAATTATTTAAATATTAATAAACATTTGATTTAATTAAAGACACAATCTTATACTTACACATTCATCATACACATGTTGAAGATCGGGATTAACAACTTGATCCTTGCCCACACGAGCTTCCTTCCACAACAAATGTGCTGGTAGTGATGTTGCGTCAGTTTTCGTCTCTTCTAACTACGCATTGACACAAGTCTTAAGATCATCAATTATAACACATTGAGAGAATTAATAAGATCGTAGAGTTTATATTTACTTACAATTTTTTCCTCCAAGCGAGCATATCCCAAACGCCCTTTTTTGTATGGATATGCGGTTTTTGACGCTCTCTCGCGATTGATGGCACTCACTTTCTTGAAATTCTCGTCTCTTCTTTGGCCTACAAAACCAACCCATTCTTCAGGTGTAATGAAGTTCTCATATTTATTTGGACGTTCCGGATCCTCTTCAAGAAAATTTCCTTCATCATCTTTAAGATACTTGTTTGTTAAAAATGTTCTCCACCCTCTGTGTCTTTTTCCAGCCAACCCCATTATATACTTTTTACGGGTATCTTCAATATTAAAAGACCTCTACAAAGAAACATACGCATAAAGTGTGTTAGTAAAAGCAATTTAAACACATATTATCGTCAAGAAAAAGCAAATAACAAAAACCATATATGTACCTTTATCTCAGTCCAAACTTTCTCTTTACCCTCATCCAACTCTCCTCTTTTCCATCTAGGAGTGGTGATCAGAATGTGTATACGAACAAGCGTACCAATGTAGCTTGTCAACTTTGCAGCATTAGACCCAATTAGTTGGTCATTATCATTCCAATCTACATTATATGTTACTCCTCTATCTCTATCATGGATGATTCCCCTCATAATAGTTATACCTCGTGTAATATCTTTTTCTGAAGTCTTTTCTGAAGTATTTTCTGGAGCATTTTCAGGAGCATTTGCATCTTGTGAGTTTTCTTGATTACTAGCCATTTGACCTGTAATAATGAAAAAAAATAAAAATGAAATGAAAAATATAAAAATGAAATGACAAATAAAAATGAAATGACAAATAAAAATGAAATCACAAATTAAATTTTATTGAATGATATAGGCTATAATTATATATACTATTACCTTTTTCACTAAGGTCTCTTTCTTTTCTTGGTAGGAATGTGTTCTACTCGTCTCTTAATAACGCAGACAGTTGGATTGATCCAAATACCCTCATTATGATCATTTCTAATACATGATTCATTATCATTTTGATCAGTTATGGTTAAAGATTCAATGTCAACACCAATATCACTTTGATCTCCAATGCTTTCATCAATTACTTTGTTAGATAATAGCACTATAGACCATTTCGTACTTGCTCAAAATCATTACTCTTTTTTGGCCTAGCCAGAAATTCCATAGCCTGTTATGGGTCAAATCATAAGCCATTCACCTTAAACTCATTTTACACGAGTGTATTCAAACTATAAACCACTCCACCTTCAACTCACATTTAAGGTTCAAGTACAATAAATTTTACAAAATCAACTTATTTAATATCAATTTTATAAAATCAATTCAAATCATTTTATACCACAACCAGACACAAACACAGACTACATTAAACTCCAGCAGTAATCTTCAAACATAGTATGCACAAACAAACAAATTTGGTCAATGGTCCTTGTAACAAAGTAGTCCTTTCAAGAAAAGTATGAATGAGACAAGAGAACAATGCAAAAAGAGCTTCAATGTTTATCTACTTATGTCAACTATATGCAATTATATGAACATTTTTGTAATGAAACCAATTTTAAATTGCTGCAATGTTCCCTTACCTAGCAAAGTTGGCAGCTTCTGCTTCTCCTCCATGCAGTGACGCAAAAGACGGTTAAAAAAGGAAATAACATCTACATTTGACACTGCAACATTGATAATAATTTGAAAAGTTAAATATTTGAATGTAACTACAGACTGTTGGTGTGGTGTCAGTGTCGAACGAACACATGGCCGACTTTAATCTAAAGTGACAGTGCTACATTGCAATCTACATATCACATGGGCAAAAGGGGATTGATCATCTATCTATACAGATCCAAGTAATTTATCCTATGGTAATATTCTCTTCACGTCGCGCTCTTGTTCAACAACTTTAGCTTTGTTGTATACAGACTCAAAAGCCTCCATGCACACACTTGAAAACCCTACAATCCCTTGAAAAACTTGAGGACAACCCATTTGCAAGTTATTCAGTGTCATTGCCCTTGTAACACTCACTACCTTTTCATGCTTTATTTTCTCTTCTTCATCCTTCGCTCTCATAGCTTCCACCTTAGCTCGCTTCTCCACGACAGGGTCCTTCGTTCTTCTCACAGAACCAAACCGTTTTGACATGGAGTAAGGACCACCTTCTTCTCAAACTCTTAATAACTTCTATGACAGTAGAAACCATGCTTGCTCAAAATCATTAACCAAACAAAAGCACACGAAAACCAGACAAACACATACGAGATGAGGAAAAAAATGAAACCTGATACGAATTGCAGTTGGCCGGGGAAGTGGAGTGTCGTTGACCGTCGTAGAAGCTCTAGTTTAGGGTTTTTTCGTGAAGAAAATCTGACTGAGAATAGAAAAGTGATACGAATTGTGTTTTGATATTTATTATAAAACTACCTACGAAAGTGCTTTTAAAAGCGCTTTCTAATGGTCATCTATAACAGTGCTTTTACATCAAAAAACGCTTTCGTAGCATATCCTATAGCAGCGCTTTTAAAAGCGCTTTCTAAAGGCTAGCTTTAGCAGCGCTTTCGAAAAGCGCTTTCTAAGGCTGGCCTTTAGCAGCGCTTTTGAAAAGCGCTTTCTTAAGGTACCCTCTGAAAGGCCATATTTAGCAGCGCTTCCCAAAAAGCACTTTCTAAGGGTGACCTTTAGAAGCGCTTTTGAAAAGCGCTTTCTTAAGGCACCCTTTGAAAGCGCTTTTTTAAGCGAATTTTTTTTAAAACCTACAACAGCGCTTTTTTCCAAAAGCGTTTTCTTTTATGTGCTGCTAAAACTTATTTTTTGCGTAGTGCTTATAAACGTAGGTGGATGATTCCTATGGAATGTTTTCAAATAACGAGTCTCATTGTTCCCACCAGTGTTAGGTTGATTTTGCATTGCCTAAGCCAACGCCTGCAACACATTAACAAGTGCACCATTTCCTCTCCCACACATTACTCTACTTCACATCGCAACATCAAACAATGGCTAGATAGAAAAACATCGACAATATTCCACTGTCACACGACACTAACGACTCAACAACCTGGCCGGACGGACGAACCTGCTCTGATACCAATTATAACACCCTATTTCCCCATCAATAATTTATATAAAATCAGAGTAAATTAATTTCTCAAAACAACATCAACAAATAGGACGTCACATCTTCATACATCATACATGCTCAAAATCAAGGATACGCAACACAATTCACATGTTCATAAGTCTGAAACTTCAGTGTATTTATTCGCAACAGGAAAAACTTTAACAATAATTCATTATCAATTCTCCAGATTTCACATTTATCATTCTTACTCATTGCGATTTCGCCAATACAGACCATCGTCATCATCATTATCATGTACATCATGTCACACAATCAAAATCATTGTCGTATTTAATCACAATATAAATCATGACATATAAATAAAAAACACACGCCCACAGATAGGTACCAATGTCGATGAAATGATTAGCTACTGCATTATAAGTCATTTTTTTAGGATAGGAAATTATGTTATCTTTTCAATGGTCCAGACGGCGCGTCAAACAGACACTCGAAGCAAAAGTTATTGATTTTTAAAGTTTTTCGAAAATTCCTGCCAGTTACAGTGGTAACCGGTTACCCAGTTATGGTAACCGATTACCGCAAGTCAGTGACCTTGTCCTTCCAAAATTCCTCGCGGTAACCGGTTACCCACTTATGGTAACCGGTTACTGCAAGTCAGTAGCCTTTGTTGTTCCAACTCACCGACGTTAGCCTATCATTTCCAACTAATTCATATGATCCAATTCCATCAAAACACACCAAAATTTCAGTTACTACTAAAAATTATTTTTAATATCTAAGTATTTATTAACCAACTTCATCACTTCACTAATAAATTTTTTACATTTATTAACTAACTTTATTTATTAATAAAAATTATTATTCATATACAATTCAAAAACACTGTTCACATATTATTTAAATTATTATTCATAACATATATGTTTTTATTTTTAAAAAAATATTGTTTATCGTAGAAATACGTTATTTAGTGTAAGTATTTGTATAAGAATAACACACCTGAAGTGTACTTTCTTTACACTCATTCACACATTTATTTTCCTTTCATAGAAAATTTGGCCGTATTATTTCCAAAATACTATTGACTTTAATCTAGAAATTTCTGTTTATGGGCCAGTAGAGTCTGATTTTACCAAAACAAGAAAATTATGAGGTTTCAATTTTCTAATACAAAAAAAAATGATTTGTTTCTTAATATGGTGGGGTAGCAAGATGGAATGAGAGGTTGATTAATTAGGACAGGTAGCCCTCTGTGTTTCCTGAAAAAGAATGTAAAATCCGAATACAACCCTTTTCCTTTGAACAAACCTTACTACTTTTGGGGGTTCTTAGTTTCTCCTTTCTTTTGATTCCTCAACTCTTATTATTTTTTAACCTTATTTTCCTTTTTTAGACTCAACCCTTTATTCCTTATCTCTACTTTCTTTGATTTTGCTAATTTGGTCCAAATCAGTTTCCTTTTGAAGTTGCTTTTCTTTCTGGTAAGTTCAGAAAAATCATTTCTTTGATATGAGATATAAATCTTTAACATAGGTGTTTATATAGTCTCTTATCCTAGGAAGCTATTTTACACCATTTAATTTCTCATCAAAATGCTTTGACAATTATCTCCCTTTTCTCGTTGAAAACTTTTTCTTTTTTTTTGGTTTCTTCTGCCACAGATTTTCTAGATCTTAAAAGCTATTATACTTTCATCCCCTCTTCTTTTTGTTCTTTCCCTTCTTGGTGAGAACTCTCTTGTTATTTTCATCCCCTTTTCTTTCTATATTTTTCATTCCACTTTTTGCTGCTGTTGTTGTGAATTCAGCAAATTAAGATGGTGAGAGGGAAGACAGAGATGAAGCGTATAGAGAACGCAACAAGTAGACAAGTAACATTTTCAAAGAGAAGAAATGGTTTGATGAAGAAAGCTTTTGAGTTATCAGTTTTGTGTGATGCTGAAATTGCTCTTATTGTTTTCTCACCAAGAGGAAGACTTTATGAATTTGCAAGTTCAAGGTATGTATCTCATGTACTTGTTTTATATTTTATTGATTTGTTTATTCTCAATTTGTATCTGGTTATTATTTTACATGTCACTCCTTTTCACACAAGGGTTCTTTAATTTATGAGGACAAACCCTAAAAAAAAAACAAACTAAAACAACCTTAAAATACTAGTGGATAATTAATTTAAGTCCTTTATTTTGAATAGTACACTAGCACCCCAACCATAACCAACACATGTTGTTGTATCATATGTTATAAGAACTGACATATTATTATATTGAGATGAAGTGAGAGATCAAACTATTCCATAGTTACTATTCTTATATACTATTGGTGAAGCTATCATTTCAAATATATAAACACTTAGAATATATAACTGACATCTGTTAGTTGGAAGAAATGAACTTGAATTCTTTCAAAATGTGATTTTGAATACGATTCTCATAATCATATGCATAGTCTATAATGCAATACAATTTATTTTGTCTTGTCTTTAGTCTGCGGACAGTATCCAAGAGGATAATTAACTTTTTGAACATAAAAATATAATTTAATACATAAGTTAGTACATTCTTAAACACAAAGAGACCTATAAAGAGTTTTAGATCTTGGGGTAAGGAATCATGGTGGTGGTGGAATGAAAGTATTTAAAATAAAATTAGAATAAAAATATTTTTTTTAAAATATGGTCTAAGTATAAAAACGTTGAAATTTGGGAAGAGTATAAGAAACCTGAAAACGAGACCAAAAATGCGATGAGTTAAGTAAGAATCCAAACTTTTATAAGATTACACCGATCTTTAGGAAACAAAGATTAGAAATTTTTTATATATAGGCTTGTTAAGGAAGGAGAAAGAAATGCAAGAGATTTGGATCAAGTGAAATATGTTAAAGATGAAGAAGACAAAGTCTTGGTTCAAGAAAAGGATACAAAGAATAGGTGGAAGACATATATCAACAATTTATTTAATGAATGATATGGTGTCTCTCAAGACTCTAGCAGACTAGACATTAGAGATAAGGATCAAAATTATAATTAGTACCGTCAGATTCAGAAACAAGAGGTAAAAGAAGCGTTGAAAATGATGCTTAACAATAAGACAGTTGAGCCAAACAATATACCTATTGAAATGTGAAAAGTGTTGAAGTTGTATTGTTGGAGTTTATTTGAAGTCCCACATTGCTCAGGTTCCTGAGTTGTTCAGTGTAAAAATATGTGAGGGAAACCTCATCCTTTGAGCTACCTTTTAAGGGATGAGATCCAATCATATTTAACATGATATTCCAAGCATATTTAACATGGTATTAAAGTCAGGTTAAGGACTGCAATGTGGTCATTTAACCCAAGCCCAGGTTAGGCCTAAGGGTGAGTGTTAAAGTTGATAGTTGTATGGTTGAAGTTTGTTTGAAGTCCCACATTGCTTAGGTTCTCGGGCTGTTGAGTGTATAAATATGTGACGGAAACCTCACCCTTTGATCTAACTTTTAAGGGATGAGATCCAAACATATTTAACAAAAAGTTCTTGGAGATAAAAGTATTCAACGACCCACCAAACTCTTTAATGAATATGAGGTCAAATTATAGGGGAATAAAAAATATGAGTCAATACCATGAAGTTATGATAAATAGTGGTTGAACAAAGACTAAGAAAATAAACTCAAATTATTGAGAATCAATTTTGTTTTATGCTTAGGAGATCGACCATGAAAGTGATTTATCTACTATGATACGTGATGGAGTAGTATCGAATAGATCATTAAGACTTGCAATTGATTTTTATTGGCTTAGAGAAGGTATATGATAGAGTTCTTAAAGAGGTTTTGTGGAAATCCCCACCTTAGAAGAAAGGGGTTAGGATTGCAAATGTTTGAGATATCTAAGAGATGTATGCAGGGGTATCGCCTAGTGTGCATACACAAGGTGGAGAGAAAAACAATTTATCCATTGCAATAAGTTCGCGTCAAGGTACAACTCTAAATCCCTACTTTTTTACTTGAATTTTGGATGTACTCATATATCACAATCAAGATCTAGCATCAAATTGCATGCTTTTGGCAGATGATATAGTCCTTCTTGGAAAACTATAAGAGAATTTAAATGAGAGATTTGAGACTTGGAGACAAATTTTAGAAACACATGATTTTTGCTTAAGTAGAAGTAAGATGGAGTATATGAAATGTAAGTTCAACAAAAATAGAAGCGTTTTTAACCTAGAGTTGAAAGTTGGAAGACCATATCATCCCACAAGTCATACGGTTCAAATATCTTCGATCTATAATGCAAAATGATGGAGAAATAAAAGGGGATGTAAACTATCAAATTCAAACTACGTGATTGAAATGGAAGATGGATTCAGGAGTTTTATGTGACACAAAGTTATCACTCAAACTAAAGGAATTTTTTTATCAGAATGCAATAAGACATATGATATTGTATGAAATAAAATGGTGAATGATTAAGAATCAACACGAGAATTAAATAAGAATAACAAAATTGAGAGAGAGAGACTCATTAGGCCGTTGATGGAAAAGAGCACGGTATTAAAGTCATTCTTCTCAGATTCTTTATAGATTGCATCATTAGTTGCACCATTGTTCAAATTTTGCAAGCCATCCTGAACCCCTTCCAATACATCTTAAAAAATAAAGAACACCTTCATTTGTTGGCTTCATCAAACCTAGTTCATGCTATGAAGAATTGGTAGTTTTCCACCTACATTATAGCCAATATTTTCCATTAAGCTTTTCATCTCCACTAAATGATCAATAGCGATAAATGTATACCTGAATTTTGAGTTTTAAATATTAGAATTTGAGGCTCTAGATATTACTTAATAGAACTTACTAAACAGACACAAAAAGAAGAAAAGTGTGATTTGGGATTCTAAGTGGGTTATGCACTTCAATTGTATTAATTTATAATCCCTATGATTACTTATACAACATCATAACCAACATTGTTAGTATGTTAGTTGCATGTCAAGTAACTTAACTAATTTAACTTATAAGTTTATTATTAAGAATATAATTACACTTTAACATTTAGCACCAACAAATACTGTGAGTTGTATTGTTTTTAATTTTTTACAATGACATACATATCTTTCATAGTACTTTTTAAGTACATATGATGTATGTGTTTGTTAATAGTTCTTTTGTTTTTTAACTGCAAATCATTAATCACAAGCTCAAAGAGATAGTCATTCTAAAGAAATGCTTTTAAAACCTTGTAATGTATAATTTATGAAAATTAAAACCAATAATTTTGTATAAAATGTTACATAATCATTAAAGTAAGATCTTAATATGAAACATTTATCCCAAAAATTAAAAAAGAAGAACAAATTTGATCCTCGTGTGTTTTTTATATCTTCTATTTCTCTTGACCATGCATTAGCCTTATTGCATGTATAACACTTTTTTTTTAATAAGAAAAAGTGCATTAAAGTAAGTACAAGGGATAGATAGCCATAAATAGTCCAAAAAGTATGTGATTAAAGTTGATATTCATTCATCAAATCTGATCAAGAAGTCCTTACAATTCACACAAGTGATTGATGTTTCGAAATGAAAGGGTTTAATCACATCAAAAAATTTATTGGATGAGAAAATATAAAAATGACAATTAAAATAAATGATCTTAAACAAAAATATATCTATGTACAATAAGACAACAATTCAATTTAACTGAAGAAGATAAAAGACAAGAAACACAATAACTTATTTATTTAATTTGATCAAACAATATACACGGGAGAGAGTAACTCTCTAATTCATTATACTTTCAAAAGATGTTATAGGAGATTAAAAATAAGTTATAATAAAATCGTCACTTAAGTTCTAAAGAATAAATCCTATTTTCTACTCAAATGTTTCTAAAAGCTCCATCCCAATGTCTTTACTCTTTTTCTCTGACGGGGACTCATTGAAAATAATACATATGTGAATAATGAACTTCGATCCTTTAGGTTCCACACCCAACAACTCATAATCTTTCATCCCTCTTGGATAACCATTGAAGATACAACCACAACTTTACCGTTAAGTTGAGTTGCCTTAATTTGATCAATTAGCAAAATTTTGATATCCTTCAAAAAAGGGTAGGTTACAATCTTCCTACTTTGAACCTCCATATGTGTTTGGAAGTCTATTCTTATAAAAGAATACATGTCGATCAGTAAGCTGATTTGGGCACCAGCCTTACTCCAGAAACTCCATGGCAACTCAACGGTCAAATGTGTTTTTATCTTTTGTATTATGAAAAACTCGTTGAAGTGGTCTGAACCAACCTTTAGGCATTTACCGTGCTTTAATTTTAAATCCCATATCTTGTTATTTTCATAAAATTCTTCACTAGCTGATGTTGAATGAACACCAGTATTAGAACATTCTAAAATATATAACCCACATATTTTAGAACGTTAGATATTATTACTTCAACATGAGAAATCTTCAACAATGTATGTTCAACTCTGGTGCAATAGTCTGTTCGGTGAGATTATAGACTATGAACGGTCAAGAAGGGGGTGGGGTAAATAGACCTTCCAAATTTGAAATTCGTTTGAAAATTTTTTTTAACAAGTTTTTAAAAATAGAGTTTATTTGCATGGCGGAAGCAAATTTTGCGTAAAAGGGACTATGCTTATATTGAGAGAATGAAAATTTTCCTTAATGAGTTAACAATGTATCAAATTGAACTACTGAATTTCACCAAAGTAGAAACTAATCAAATTGTTAAAGCATTCAGTTCTGCAAAATGTGTTATCGAATAATTTTCAAATCTCGAAA